TGAAATCAGTGATTTTAGTGTGTGGGAGATTAAAAAGAACTCCACATCCTTTTAATTGCGCTCAAATGAAAAAAGAAAAAAATTATCCAAATTGAAGGTTGCCACAACCAGCAAGCAAACTGTACAAAAACAGGAGGAGGTGCAGGAAGGAAATTCATTTTCATGTTTCAATTATTTAATTGGTTCAATGTTTTTAATTATGTTATTGTCTATCTGTAAATTCCCAAACTGCATTTACTAAATGAGACTTAACTAAACATGGAAACAAAGTTATGTAATTTGTCTTCATATTCTAGTATTGAAATTTAAAATAAGGTAAAATATATACTGAAAGGTACACATTTTTAAAATTTAAACCTTCTGTAGCTATCTTTGAAAATAAAATGGCCAAAGTATATTTTAATATTTTGTTTGAAAGCCTACCAGTATCAGAAGTCAAAATAGTATCAACTCACCAGAACCAGAGAGCACATTAAGATTAATACTATACTTTTGTAATACTGAATTCCAAAACCTGGAAAGTAAATGGTCTAATATACATTTAGGATCATTGTTAATATCAAGTATGAATAAATATTCATTTTAAAATGTGTTAAGTCCAATGTGAAATGATTAATTTTCTTTCTCTTCAAACTAGTTTTATATATTGGTTCAGTTTTTCATGCAGAAAAATACTGACACACTTGGGCTAGTAGTTGTTATAGATATTTATTAAGAGTAGTTATTAAATCAGATGTGCTCATTGCTCTCTAGATAACTAATCTAGTGAAAATGGCCATATTAATATTACATATAACTGATAGCATATTCTCTATAGCATAAATAAAATGGCCCATAATTGCAAAGTTAACTTAAATTTCTGCTTAAATAAAATTCAAGAGTAAATGAAAATATCCATTCCCCTAAATCTTCAAGATGGTAAAAATTCTTAGCATATCATTTCTAGCTTTTGTAATGAGGTTGACTAGATCAGAAGTCAACATTTTTTATAATTAAGGCACTTGAATCATCTCAAATGTTTCTTTCTGACCCTTAATTTTCATTAAGCAAAACAATCTATTCACCAGTTGTTACCAGGTACTGATGAGATGACTACAATTCATAACAACCCCATGAACAAATGACTGGAATCTTACACTTTCTGAACCATCCTCACAACTTCCGCCATGCTCTCATAATCGCAGACATATGAACCATAAATAAATGATTCCTCACTGATAACTAAACATTTTGTATAAGACCAGTTTGGAGGTGTCTCCTAAACGAGCATGAATACCCCACTGTGCATCATCTAAAAATAATAGTTATTGTCATCTGGCTGGACCTTCACCATCACACAATGAGCAAATCTGAAAATTTGCCTCCACTCCTGCGTTGCAACAATCAACCAACATAACTAATTTCTCCCAAGAAAGGTGCTCCAAGACAATGTGGAGACTATCGAACAATAGCATTAATATCACAGGTAAGAAAAATACTGCTGAAGATCATTAAAAAATGGCTAGAATAGTACAATAGATAGGGAACTGCCAGAAGTTCAAGCAGGATTTGAAAGAGGCCTTCTAAATATCATTGCTGATGTGACATGAATCTTAGCGAAAAGTAAACCAGAAGAATGTCTATTTATGCTTTATTGACTCTGTAAAGGCAACTGACTGTGTAAATCATACATAACAAGTTATGGCTAACATTAAGAAGAATGGGAATCCCATTTAATTGTGCTGATGTGAAACCTATACCTAGATCAAAGGCTGTAGTGCGAGCAAGGGAACACTACATGGTTTAAAATTAAGAAAGGGTGTGTCAGGGTTGTAGTCTCTCTCCATACCTAGTCAATCTGTATGTTGTGCAAATTATTCAAGAAGCTAGCTCTATGAAGAGGAATGTGGCTTCAAGATCAGAGGTAGATTCATCAACAATCTGTGTTATGGATAAATCACAACATTGCTTGCCGAAAGTGAGGAGGACTTCAAACACTTGTTGCAGAAGATAAAAGAATGCAGACTTCAATATGGATTGAATCTCAAGGTCAAGGAAACAAAAATTCTTAGCACTGGACCAAAAGGTAACATCATGTAGTTGTTGTTGTATGTCATCATGTCACCTGCAACTCACAGCAATCCTATGTACAATAGCTGTGACCAGCCAAGTCTTGAGCCAGTCACACTGACTCCGACATATCTACCCCCACTGCTCTAGTTACTCTAGTTACACTCTGTGTCATCTGGGGTTTTCCTCTCCTGTACTGTCCCTCCACCTTTCCAAACATGATGTTCTTCTCCAAGGATTTAAACTGTCAACAACTACATCTTATTTGGATCCACAATCAACATCATCGGTACTAGCAGTTAGGAAATCAAGAAAGTCTGTAGTAAGGGCTCTCTCCAAATTTCTGAGAAGTAATAATATCAATTTGAGGATTAAGGTGTGTCTAATTCTGGCTATAGTCTTTCCAATCACTTGCAACATATCTGAGAGCTGAACAATGAATATGGATAACATGAGCCTTTGAGGTGTGGTCTTGGAGAAGAGTACTGAACTAGCCAGGGACTCCCAAAAAACAACAACAAAAAACCAGAACCAACCAACACACAAATGTACACTAGAGAAAGTGCAGCCACAGTGCTCTTTAGAGGCAAAGATGATAAAGTTTCACCTTCATATTTTCTGCATTTTGCTAGGAGGGGCAATTCCATGGAGAGGGCCATAATGCCCAGAAAGGCAGAAGGTTGACAAAAGAGAGTAAGACCCTCAAGCAGGTGGACTGACAAAGTGACAATGGCAACAGGCTCTAGAGTGTCAGGAAGTGTGAGGATAGTACAGAATAGGACAGGGCTCAGGTCTGTTGTTCATAGTGTCGCTATGAGTCATACTTGACTGGATGCCACCTAACAACAACTGATTTTTCTAATATAGAAAATTAAAGCGTGATACTCACAATAATTATAAAATTACCTCTAAAAAGTTCTTTCATTTAAAATAACTTGATTAGCAATATTCTTTGTTGTCTGCCATAAAAGACAAAAAAG